ATTACGGTACTTGATGACAATGACAACGCGCCGGAATTCGATCAACCATACTACGCCATTCATGTGCGAGAGAACACCAAACACCAAACGTGGCCAGAAAGTTCTCAAAGTCACAGCCGTCGACAGGAGACCAGGGCCAAAATGCGGTAGTGAGGTTGGTCTTGTCTCTTGGTGATACTGAAGATGGCATCTATGCTTATAATTCTGTTTTAGGTACTCGATACTGGAACAAAGTCCATTTTCAATCGATAAAGCCACTGGAGAGATCCGAGTCGCTGATACAGTGGACCGCGAGCTGATCAACGAATACAAACTGACAATTCAAGCGACTGATTCAGGAAGGTACGCGCGACGGTATTTCCAAAAGTGAAAATTTTCACTTTTCGAGGCTGCATCTTCGCCATAATGGCTGGTGAATTTCATTCTATGGACGTCTCTTAAGACAGCGCCTGTTCAGGTATCGACGGCTCACATCAACTGCACAGCTGACCGTATTTGTTGACGATGAGAATGACAACAGTCCAATTATCAGGAATAAGCTGCTCGACGTCTTTGTCCCGAAGGATTTGAGAAGTGGTTTGTTATTCGCTTCAATTAAAAGCACATTCCACAATTAAAGGCATGCCCCAAGATCAAATTGGTGTGGCTCTTGCACACGAATGCGAATGTATTGGTGCGAAATGGGCCGGCAGAAGAAAAAAGGAAAAGAATCCGTCGAAAACGCTTAGGTTAAGGGCTCACTCACCTTCTAATCGGCTGTGCTAAGGAATGAGAGACTAAGCGCGGAGAGGAGAGTATGAGGCGAGAGAGCGCAACAGATGAGAGGGCGCCAGACAGGAAGAGAAAAATTGCAGCTGCAGCAGCTTACTTTGCAAGGCCCTAGCGCTCTTGTCGGGTGGTTTCCGTGCACGGGAATGCCACATCTGTGATTGTCCTCTAGGGGTCTATCCTACAGACCGAAGGAATCGTTCACACGACTTCTGCCTGGGTTGTGCCTTTAAGTTAGATGAGTCAGGTGCTTCCGTGAGTAGGACAGAGCTGTTCATGATTAAAAACATGATTCTTACAGCTCGAAATACGTGACAATGGAGCTAGAGCTCTGACATCAAGGTTGAAACCGGTTGCAGCTGCTATTCAGAACGAAACAGTGTACTGTTTCCCTGACGCTGAGCGTTTCTCGTGCTAACTCCACCTATCTCACAAAAAGGAGGCCTTTACCCTCCTGTGTTTTCGATGTTTTCTTGCCTCTGGTCTTCTTCGTACTCACTCGTGTTTTCGTTTTTATGCGCATCAAGCATATTTTTTTTATCGTGAACTGCGCCTTTAAGGCGTCGACTGCATTACCGTAACAACTTAACAGCGTCCAGTAAACGTAGTTGCTTTCCACTCCTTCCTCAAAAACGGTGTTGTACCGAGAAATTCTAAAAACTCATTGCTCGAAATCGGTTGCAGAAAATCACTGCAAGTTTAGTTACGAGGTGTGCTCGAAAAACGAGCTTATATAGCCCACAAGGTCCGAACGCGGCTGATTTGAACCGGTCTTCGTTACCAATTTCATACAGCTCCTCATTTTATAATTCTATTTTTAGGTGACGTTGTTCATGTGGTAGACGCCATTGACTTTGACGAGAACGCGACTCTATCGTACAACATTTCTGGGCCAGACGCTCGGTTCTTTGCCATCAATTCTCGAGGAGAAATCATTGCCAAAGGTAAGCTTCATCAAGTCTATGTACATGGCCATTGATTGTGTCCTCCTATTTACTATTGATTTCCAATGCCTCTGGGCGCATTTCCGCCTCGAATATCGGCAGGTCAGAGATAATTCAGAGTGCTTTCGATATACCTTGGCCATCCATATTATATAAACGGATGAATACCCAAGCCCCATCCAACCTCTAGGTACGGGGTATTTCCTGATGAGGGTCACCAGACAGGCGTGACAGAGATCCAGTCACACGGTGCGAAGGCAGAAGCACGCTATGTCAAGCGGACGTTGTGGCACGTACAGAAAAACCAGTACAGTACGCGCTGCGACTCGTCCACTGATCCATCCGTCTCTGTCTTCTCGACTCGCGACGGGCCTGCTGTCGGGCACTCGTTCTGATGAACATCCGTGATCGTATCAGAAAAAACCCCAGCGTAGCCCAGCAGTTAAGCCGGGAACCAACCATTCAAGGTGCGAGCGGCCGCGCTTCGGTGGCTCGTTTGATCAGTATCTCTCAAAGCAACGCATCGCAACCTCGCATAACCCAGAGCTTCTTTACAGATTGTTAACTAATTTGTAAGCTGGTGAAAAAAACTTACTTCTGGATAAATACGTCAATCATTTTTAGACCGTGCTAGAAATGAAAGCGTACTACTCAATTACTGTAGGAGTTTTTGATAAGGATGGACTAAACACGAGCGCAAGTTTCACCTTCTACCTGGACGATCGTAACAATTTTCCGAGGTAATTTTGTGGCGAGTAAATTATTCGGGTAACTGCAGGGTAGAGAAACCTTAATGTCACCGCACTCAATTCAGATGGATATCAACGATGAACAAGACATCGTTGCGTGAGGACACGTCTGAGGACGTTTTTCAATTCGCGGCAACATCGTCGCGAGTTGACTCGTCCCTGACCTACTCGATACTGAGTGGTAATGATGGCTCCTTCGAAATCGATCCACTATCGGGAAGACTATCGATCGTGTATGTTGCTCGTTTTCTTTTCCTTTACTCGTTTCTCCTTATACAAAAAGTCCATCCCCCTAAAGGCAGTCGATTTTGTTTGGAATGCCTGTGTAGCACTGATTAGCATGGGGCTCGGAGAGCATGAGAGCGGGCTCGGATCCGTGGGAGATGGAACGATCTACCAAACCTTAACCATTTTCCCGGTCTCTGAGCTGCTTAGGAACGAAATTCCAAGTTTGGCCGTCGGCAAGCGGCGTGCATGCCTCCGCCCACCGTGAGGGAGGGTGTAGTCGAGTACTCGGCAGGAGGCCTGTCGCGCGGTGAGAAGACAGGGTCAGCGGACGAGTCGCAGCGCGTACTGTGCGATGTAGGACGTACTATAGTACATTCTATTTAACTTGACGCGAAATCCCTACAGTACGCGCTGCGACTCGTCCGCTGACTCTTCTGCGTCTCTGCCTTACTGCCGCGCGACAGGCCTCCTGTCGATAGCCGGGTGTGCGCGCCCCGTCAACGGACACATGAAATTCGTCCTTTAAACCGCCTCAATTTGATGCCCCGCCTGCGCTCTCTCACCTTAAACAGCGGCTCATGACACTGTGATCTCACACATTCAAACTTTTGCCACACTGTAATTGGCTCACCCACCTCGGAGTCCCTCCCCCTCCAAGGCTTAGTCCTAGGCTCTCACCTTCCTCTTGGGATTTGGAGCCGAGCCAGGCGCCGTTCTCTGATCGTCTGTGCTCTGGCCTATTCGCCTTGAGGAGAGTTCAAGTAGTCCGCAGGCCTTTCACAATCGCATTTTAGCCGTGGCCTGGATCGTGAAATTCGTCCATACTATCGAATATGGCTCGCCGTCACGGACTCGGATAGTCCGCCAAAATTATCGATCACATCAATCGATATTGTCGTAGAGGATGTGAACGATAACAGACCAATATTTGAGAAGGTATGATTTTCACAGTCATAACATTCGGTCCACTTCTCACAATGTCGAAAAATGACGTGGCGGCGCTGGTGCTGCGGCGGCAAGCCGGTGTCAGACTGCGAGCCGTGCGCTTCGCTACTGGCGATTCGCATATTTTGCGTTAGCGCTCAATGTTCCTGCGAAAAGCTCGCAGTGATACATAAGGGATAAAAATTGAAATACAGGTGATCTACTCAATCGAAATTATGGAGAACTCGGATCCTCAGCAACATTTGTGCACCACTGCAACGGATCGAGATCAGGGCCAAAATGCCGATATTCACTATTCGATCATTAGAGGTGAGATTGTAAATAAACTCACACTAATATTTAAAGACACACACCACTAGCGGAGAGGTGTGGGTCGTTACGCCCAAAAATGAAAGTGGTTGTAAAAATTGGTCCGATGATGTAAAAGAATAAAAAACACTAAAATTCTTAAATTAGCGTTGGGCGCCGATAGTGGGGCGGGATCTCAACCAGAGTCAACCCTGCGTTGCGCAGTTCGCAACGGCACGTTGAGAGATCCTCAACGCACGCTGTATGGGCGGAGACGCAGACGGCTCGAGCATGCGAGTGTGAATGTTCGCGCGAGAGAACGTGTCTAATCGGGCGAAACTGCGCAACGTGGCCGTTGAGAACTGCGCAACGCCAGGGTTGACTCTGATCCCGCAACCTCGTATAACGGAGTGCTCCAGTGCATGAGTCACATCTTTACTGTTTTACTTTTCTGATGTAAGGACGCCAATGCGGGAGAATCGCACCAGACTTACCCATTTCAGGTAGATGATCTAAGTTCTAATAAGTTTTTTTTTCATATCTGAATTTGCTGATAAACATGTACTATAATTTTCTAAGCGCGTGAACAACTCACCACGTTTATTCATTCGGGAATGTGCCTTTAAGGCAAGATCATGAATAAAAAAACCATTGTTAAAGTTGAGCGTGCCCCAAGCTAGAGAAGCAGAGTCGGTGACCCAGCGTCTCTAGCTTGGGGCAAGATTCAGACTCGATTCTGAGGACTGTATTCACATACATATTTATTTATTTATTTATTGCATGTGTCAGGCACATGGAGGAACACAACTTCAAAGCCAACGAAAAAAAAACGATCAAACTGGTGCTTAGGTAGCACCCGAGTACTTGAATAGTTAAAAATAAATTCTAGCGACAGAATAAATTGCGGATAAAACGGATAATATGTATGAGGTAGGAAAAACGAGATAAGAAAACCTCCCTGCCGATTAGGTCATAAAATGTCCTCATTTCAGATAACGCCGCAAGATGTTCTTGAATTGTGTTGTACTTTTAGGTACTGCACACTTTTTTGACAATTTGGAATAATCCGTAACTGCCCTTGAAGTGAAAAACCTGGCTCTTGTACTTGTCCTAGGTGTAGGAATAGAAAGTTTGTTTTTCTCTCCCCTTGTATTCGTGTGTAAAATTGTAAAGAAATCTTCATATTTGACATTGACTTTCCCTGTGAGCATTTTAAAAACAGTTATCAAGTCAAACATCTTTCTTCTATACAGAAGAGAGTCAATTCCTAACATTTTGTTCCTAATAACCCCTCGGGGTATTGAGTTATAGCTGAAACCAAGTGCTCTTATCAGAAGTTTCCTGGTAAAACTATTTTGAACGGCTTCAAGTTTCCTAATAATTCCTTTAGAATGTGGAAAGAAAATGCAAGTTCCGTACTCTAGTATTGGCCGAACATAAGTTTTGTATGCCTTGAGAAGGACACATGGATCTTTAGTAAACAAACTCCTCATGAGTAAGTTGAGCCGCCGTTCTGCCTTACTCGATATTGATATACAGTGTTGAGCGAAGGTCAACTTGTTGTCAACAATAAACCCTAGGTCCTTAACTTCCCTGCTTGTGGAGAGCTTATTGCCCTCGATATGGTATTCGAAAAGAATGGGGTTAGGACCGAGATGGAATACAGAAGATTTTTCATTCGCTAGGGGGAGACCCCAGACCTTGGACCAAGCACTCACAGTGTTAATTGCTTCCTGAACTTTAGTTGAATCATCTGAGGAGGAAACCGCTTTATAGATCTTCAAATCGTCAGCAAACGCTTTG